CTCACGCAGTGTTAAAAGCCAGAAAATAAAAGTTGGTTTTAAGATGAGACTTATAAGACTCCACTGTGGCAACTGTTCGAAGGTTATCAATAAAAAATAGTCATAGTAATATCATTGGCTGTAGATTTGTTATCATGAACCAAATAGAACAAAAAAAGATAGAAGACCATCTTTTTAAATAATGTTGTACTTTGTCTTCCAAACAGTTGCCTCCAAAAATCCATTGATTCACTGACACATGTTTTTGATTATCTGATTTTTCCTGAACATGTAAACACACACCTAAAGTCTGATTTAATTATTGGATTATCTGATTATTCTAATTGTTATCTGATTATTTTCCAGTCATGTGAATATAGCGGTTTATCTGTCCAGTTTCACAGAACAGGCTTGTCAAAAGAAAAGCTGGTGTCATACGCTGCACATAACATTATTTCTGCACACTGTTCGTCATTGATGTGCTTATGTGCTGGGTGTAGTGTCATATTAGTGAATGAGCACTTGAAAGCAGGCTATTTTAAAAGTGTTTGAAGCTTAACTAAGCCTAATAGCTTTAATAAGTTTAAATATGTGGCCAGTTTACTATATTAGCCATGGTTGAAATCATTAGGGATAGGAACAGTAACTTTGGTTAAGGTTAAGACTTTAATACCCAAAAAAGCCCATTTAGGGGTGTGCAAAAATATCAAAATATCGATATATAGTATAGTTTATGATACAGTACTGATATCGTGGGCTGCTGTATTGATATATATCGGCAAGAGTATTTTGTGTATATTTTACTAAATTATTTTTTCACAGAGCTATAGTTTTGTTGTTCAGAGTTGTTGTTCAGAGGAAAGAAACTCATTTATGGTATTGTGGGCTGCTGTATCGATATGTCACCAAGAGTTGTTAAATTATTTTGTTACAGCGCTACAGTTTTGTTGCTTGTTTGAGGGAAGAAAACTTGTTTATGTAACACATTTGACATTTTCACTATTCTGATGATTTGTGTTTCATATGAACTTTGCACAAGAAGTGGTTTAACGAAGACTTTTAGTATCACAGCCAGGGCTGGGTATCATCGAGAAGTTGCTGATACAATACATATCTCGATGCAGTACACTTTCGATTCGATGTGATATATATTTCAAATCGATTTGTTACATTTCAATTTAAAAAAATATGAGTAAATCATGGCTGTGACACTTAAAGTCTTTGTGAAACCACTTTTTGTGCAAAGTTAATATGAAACACAAACATTTTATTCATAAAAACAGTGAAATGTCAAATGTGTCGCATAAATGAGTTTCCTTCCTTCAAACAAGCAGCAAAACTGTAGTGCCGTAACAAAATAATTCAACTCTTGGCGATATATCTATACAGCAGCGCCCGATATTGATACTATATCATCACAGTATAATATGATATTTCGACATTTTTGCACACCCCTAATCTCAGCCATGATTTAGCCTTTTGTTTTTAATGAATTGTATCGAATCGATTTGAAATATATCACATCGAGTTAAAAGTGCATTGCAATGAGATATGTATGATATTGTGGCCTATGTATCAGCCTATGTATCGAGGCAACTTCTTAATGATACCCAGCCCTATCCCTATTGTAAACTAGTAACTCAATTTGAACGAAACCTTACATAAAGATGCATGGTGTAATTTTTCTTTTCCTCGTCTCTATGTCCAGAATGCTCCACATTATTGCATTAAACCTATTTTATCTCCATGCAGACAAAAATATGACACCACCAAGCTGACAGATCTGTGGAGAGGTGACCCTGTTCACGTTTTTTTAAAGCAAGAAAAACATCTGTGACTGAAGATAGATACATTTAATGCTACTGTGGAACATTTCAGGCATTAAAATAAAAAAAAAAAATCAGATGACAGACCCTCCAACAGAAAAGCTACACAATGCACCTTTAACGAAAATATAAACAAATTAAATAATAGCAAATTTTCTTTTATCCAGCCCTAAGTAATGGAGAAGCAACGGACATTTTAAGATATTTTAAGATACTAATTAGTGGTGTTAGTATTCATCTCAAAATATTCAGTTTCATGATTTTTAATATTATCTGAGCCAATTATGTCTGAACATTTAGCCTAATCCTGACACATCTGCTGCTGACAGGTTCACACTCGGACAGTAACGCGATCTCGTCCTCCGTCTCCTCTCGTCCTCCTCCACACCTGTTTTCTCTCCTCCTCTGTTCTTCACACCATGTGGAAATAGACACTGGACCAGAATAGCTCCCTCTCTTTTGTTTGGACGCACCATGTCTTGTCCTGTTTTATCACTGTCCTCCAAAAGATTAACAGCGATGATACAAAACGTTGTGTATTTTTGTCTTGTATACAGTAGCTACTTTTTATTCAAGATGTAGGAAGGTCATTACACGGGTAGAGTGCTTTAACAACATTCCCTTGGAGTGTGATGCTAACTGTAGGCATGTTCTGTCTGAAGCTTTGTTAGACTTGAATTTGAGCTTTATTTTAAGACAATCTGACCATAAAAAACTGAAACAAGTGAGCTGATTTTTGCTCTTAAACTCTCAAATAATGTTAAATGATATATATGTTATTAGGTTATTTTTTTCAGACCAAGAGTTTGTTTTCATACCTGACGGTTTCGACTCCTCACTAGTAGGGGTGTGCAAATATATCAAAATATCGATATATCGTATTGTTGATACAGTATTGATATCATGAGCTGCTGTATTGATATATCGCCAAGAGTATTTTTTGGTATATTTGACTAAACAGCGCTACAATTTTGTTGCTTGTTTAGAGGAAGGAAACTTGTTTATGCGACACATTTGATATTTTCACTGTTTTGATGATTGAAATTCATATGAACCTTGCACAAGAAATGGTCCCCTCCTTGATGACGTCCCTCTGAACCACATGAAGTACGGTCTTCACATGGAATCCCCACGTAGACCCCGCTTCTCACTTCTTCTCCGTGCTACCATTGAAGGCCTAGGTGTGAAATGCACAGCCCGCCATTGATACAGATACATAAAAAACAACCCAAATGTGATGTCAGTGGCAGAGCATCAATATGAAGCAAGATGTGTGGAATTAAAGGTTAAATGTTCCAGATTCAGATCCTGCAAAGTATCCACCCTTTGCTTTGTTGACAGCGCTGAAAACCCTTGTCCTTCTCTCAGTGAGCTTGGTTTTCACTTCAAAGTTGTGCCTTACCAGAGCTGATCATAGAACTTTCTTTTCTATTCCCATGTGGTCTTATATCTATGTAATCTCTCAGTGATCCAGGTTGGTTCCATAGTGGTCCATGGGCGTATACGAGTCTGTGTGCTCTTATACTTGTTCTGAAGATACTTTTTAAAGCTTTGACAACACTACTTTGTGTTGGACTGGACTTTTATACAACACAAAGACAAATGCCAAGGTCAGATACAGATACAAGTGAGTGCAGCAGCAGTGACAGTGTAACAGTGCATAGAACAGTGTGGATCTGTCATGTTTAATGAAGAATGAGTTTTTCCATTTTAGTTATAGTGTATCTTTTGCTCTCAGGATAATGAACCACGAGATGTTTTTACTTTTGAGCAGAACTGTGCTAAAATGTTCCTTGTCAATGTCTTGGTTGGGGCTTAAGCGTTGCAGAAATCTGACTTGTAAAACTAACCACAAAAAGTAGAAGATAAAATAAGATCAAAATATTTCCTTTATTGTTTCCCATGGGAGAAATTTGTCTTGGGGCAGGGGATCACATGCTTTATCACAAAGACAGGACAACAAAAGCACCATACAAACATCCACTGTAGAACATAAATAAAAATGTATGACCACGAGTGACACACCAACAGAACGTTTAAGTCACTCTTTACAGGCAAGCCCTTCGTCATCTTGTATTCTATTAATAATTGCACAGTCCCTAAGCCTGTGTGTAGTTTTAATTACACTTTCCCTTAAAACTGCACATCATAGCATTGTAACATTTAATTTTATCTTATTTTATTTTGCAGCATTTCATCTAAACAACCATATTACTCCTCTAATTACCCACCTCTAATTACCGCTTCCAAAAAATGTTTGCTCAATCAGTTGATTCCAAATTAGGGATGTGTAAAAATATTGGTATATCGTGATAGTAATTTGGTAATACAGTATTGTTATTGTGGGCTGTTGAATCAATATATCATCAAGATTGTTTTTTTTTTTTGTATCTTTTAGCATTTTTTGTGTGACTGTTAGGGGTGTAACGATATCCAGGTCTCACGATACGATATCGTCGCAGTATGAACCTCACTGTACGATATTTATTGCAATGTCGTGGGAAAGCTCGTGATATGGTGGGGAGTCTCACGATTAGGGATGTAACAATATCCAAATTTTTCTTATTCCTCTTAAAATGCCTTGACAAGATTTAATAAAGAACTTTTAAAGAATTTTTAAAGAACTAAGACTTAGAACTGTTATTTCTTCTTGTAGTCTGCACTGAAATGGAGCAAAGGATCATGATCTATGTAGTTCTCTCTGTCTCTTTTTAGCTATTACTGCACCATAACTCTTAATTTAAGCAAAGACACTTGTAATTTGATATATTGTGATGGTCCAGGATATTATTGTGAGAACTTTGACTATACAATATCACAATATTTCTGTTATTGTTGCATCTCTAGTGACTGTACTACAATTTTGTTGCTTATTTAGTGGAAGGAAACTAGTTTGTGCAATGCACTTAACATATTCACTGTTTTGGTTATTAAAATGTATTATAATATACATTTATTATGTCATATTAATTTGCATAAGTAGTGGTTTAACAAACAAATATTGTTGTTAAAATGTATTTGGTTCCTAAAAACGTATCACAAACTACCATGTGCAATATATCGAGTATCGCATGTATCGCCATATTGTGATAATATCGGATTCCGTGTAGCACACTGAATCATGGGGAACCCTGTGATTTCTTGACTCCAACGTCATGATTTAAAAATAAACTCACATTTTGTTTTGTTTTGCAGACGGCGCCAAACCAGCGGTGGCCAATAGGAATGGAAAGAAGGCGGAGTCTAGCTCTGGGGGCGGGAGCTTCTTCACCTGGTTCATCGTGCTGGCTCTGCTCGGCGTCTGGACCTCCGTGGCCGTGGTCTACTTCGACCTGGTGGACTATCAGGGGGTCCTGGGTGAGTCCACGATGCTTACATGCTCTGTGCTAATGCCGCTTCACCTGACACGGTTTAACCCATCCACATCCCAAACTCCCGACAGCTTTCCTCTTTTATCAGTGTAATACAGCGCAGATACTTTTTTGAACTGGTTTGTTTTTAATATGTTTGCTTCCTCCTAAATACCCAAACACAATCCAATCTACACATAAAACAGTGAGGCTACAACTAACGATTATTTTGTAAATCAATAAATCTAGTGATTATTCTTTCAATTAGTTGATTAGTTGTATAAATTGTGAATATGAGACACAAAAACACAATATCTGAATGTTTTCTTTGATTTATTTGACATTTTTAAGTGCTTTCTTCTTTCCCTCAGTCATAAAAACCTGTTCTCCTGGCACATGTCATGTTTTAGAGCAAGTGTATAGTCCAGAAATGATTATTTAGTTACTAATTTAGTTGACAACCATCTCAATAATCATTTAGCTGTGATCAATGTGTTTTAAAGCCTTATAAAATATACTTTTTATTTCACTGAACTGTAAAGATAAAGTAGAAAAGAGGTCTTCAATGCTTCATCATGGGATCAAAATTAAACACTTAATATTCCAGTTTTCTCTAGTTTTGTCCAGAATTTGTGCAGAATATAAAAAGACCTATATAAGTCAAGCAACCTACAAGTGCCACACATTTATGGGAATTTCTGCAACAGACTTGGGAAGAACTTTCTGAAGAATATTTGATTTCTATTTAAAAAAAAATCTGTGTATCATTCATTCATTCGATTTTCAATATAAAACCAAAAATAAGAAAACTAAAAAACAACTTTCCACGTTTCCGTGTAAACTGCGATGCCGGACTTTTGCCAGTCCCGGTCCTGGTCCCGGACTGAGGCTGGGACCAGACCAGGACTGAGGCCGGGACTGAGGCCGGGACTGAGGCCGGGACTGAGGCCGGGACTGAGGCCGGGACTGAGGCCGGGACTGAGGCCGGGAACAGGACCAGGACCAGACCGGGACTGAGGCCGGGAACAGGACCAGGACCAGACCGGGAGTGAGACCGGGACCAGATCAGAACTGAGACCAGGACTGAGACCGGGAACAGGACCAGGACTGAGACCGGGACCAGACTGAGACCGAGACTGAGACTGAGACCAGACAGGGACTGAGGCAGGGACCAGACCAGAACTGAGGTCGACTGAGGCCGGGACTGAGGCCGGGACTGAGGCCGAGACTGAGGCCGGGACTGAGACTGGGAACAGGACCAAGACCAGACCGGGACTGAGACCGGGCCTGAGACTGGGAAAAGGACCAGACCGGGACTGAGACCGGGACCAGACTGAGACAAAAAAAAAAAAAAAAGAATGAACAAATGATACACAGATTTAAAAAGAATGCCACAAATGTGTTCACCTGTTATATCTGCCAAAGGAGATTACTTTCATGAATCAAAAGTTTAGAATACGTTTTAGTCAACAATAAACAAAAAAAAAACTAGAAAAAGTGTGGTGTTCTAAAACATTTGACCGGTATTATATGTATCCATGGTTTTCAGATAAACAGGAAGATGAAACCCAATGTATAGATCTTAATCTTACTATTTGACCCAGGCCTCAGTAAACATTTTAATGCAACTAATCCACACTTAATGATGTTCTATGTTTATGTGTAGTGTATTGGGAGACTCTGTTGCCATAGTGCTGGGGTGGGCAGGGCATAGGCAACAAAAACCTAACGGTGCATTGTGTAACTTTTCTGGTGGAGGGTCCATCAAAAGCTTTATTGATGTTATTGCTTTGTCTGGAATGTTTCACAGTATGGCATTAAACCTTTTTATCTTCATGGAAACCAAAGCAGACCAAGTTACAGGTCAGATCTGTGGAGAGATGACCCCGCTCACAGTCAGAATGTTGTTTTTCTAGGTATTTTTGAGCTATAAAACCACCTGTAATTGAATAAATGTAAAGTAGATCTATTTAATGTCATATCGTGGAACATTTTACGCACAGCAATGACATATCCATAGAAAGAAGCAGGCGATATCCATAGAAACCAACCCGAAAAGTTACACAGTGCACATTTAATACTCATATTGATGACTAAGGCTGCACCATTTGAAAAAAAATATCCAAGAATGTTTTTATTTTTTTGTTTGTTTTGTTCTGACATGCATTGCTAGTTTTGCAATTTAGGTTTTAATAAGCGCACTTTGTTCAAAGTTCACATTTTGAACTCCTCTATCCGGAAGAATTAACAAAAAGACTGGAATATGAAGTGACACAGTTCAGAACGTGTTTGTACACATCAAAACTCCAGGGTTTGCAGTTTTATGCAGGAGATTTAGTTACGTGTGGAGGAAATTATGGACCTAAAAACGACCAAATCATTACAGTCGCTTATAATTTCTCAATAGAAATGATAAGAAATGGAATTATTTTGAAAGAATTGTAAATATATAAGTTTACTGAAAGCGCAACACACTGCTCCATTCAAACAAACACTGTATTTCCATATTTATGCAAACCTTTTCTTACCATTATTTTTACCATGACAACATCTGCTGCCTGCTCACTGACTGATGCAAAAAACATGCAAAGAGTCTCCTCGCACAAAACGCCATCGCACCGTGTCCCTCCGCCTTACACAAGATAAACATCTCTGGTGCCACATTTGAATGAAGCATGTTCTAATTACTCGCATGTGACTAATGATCGTTGTCTTTATGTGCGAAGTATGAATTGTTATTTCTCTGGGTGATCTTGTAATTCCTCTTATTATTTTTTTGCATGCAGACAAGGCTAAGGGCATTCAAATTAACCTGTCTGAGGCCTTGCAAGGTAAACATACACTCTCGTACTAATTAACTTTTGTGTGTTTTATTTAGAAATGGGGATGGTCTTCTGTGTTTGCAAACTGTGTTCTTCAAGGTCCTATATTACGCAAAATTGACTCTTGTGAGCGTTAAGCCGTGTTATAATGATGTTATCTCATCAAAAACAGACCTGGAGTTGTGTTTTGTTTCATTCCTATTGAGTAATCCTTTATTATTAGTCTGTTCCACCTTGTGATGTCATGCAGTGCTGGTTTTCAAGTTAACGGCCAGCGAGCTTTTACCTTTTTTTAGTACAGATTAGAATTCTAGCTCTGAAATTATCCAGATGATTCTAGTGAAAGTGTTTGGAGTTTAAAACAGTGGAGACTTTCTAGAGAAGAACAATCCATGTATCATTTGTTCATTCATTTTTCAATATAAAACAAAAAAAAAAAAAAAAAAGAAAAAACAACTATTTTCTTCATTATTTGTCTCCAAAACCAAAATGAAAAAAACTGATAATGATTACTTTTTGCAGTTTTCGATTTTGTGTTTAAATGAATAATGGAAAAAACGGATAAGGGCCGTTTGACTTAAACTGTGATGCCGGATTTTTGCGCCGCATATGGACTGAACCAGGACTAAACCAGGACTAAACTAGGACTAAACCAGATCCGGGACCAGACCGGGACTGAGACCAGGACTTATACCGTGAACAGGACCGGGACGAGACCGGGACTGTGACCAGGACTGAGACCGGGACCAGACCGGGACCTGACTAGGACTGTGACCAGGACTGTGACCAGGACTGAGACCGGGACGAGATCAGGACTGTGACCAGGACTGAGACCGGGATGAGATCAGGACTGTGACCAGGACTGTGACCAGGACTGTGACCGGGACTCAGGACTGTGACCAGGACTGTGACCAGGACTGTGACCGGAACCAGACCGGGACCTGACCAGGACTGTGACCAGGACTGAGACCAGGACTGTGACCAGGACTGAGACTGGGACTGAGACCGGAACCAGACCGGGACCTGACCAGGACTGTGACCAGGACTGAGACCAGGACTGTGACCAGGACTGAGACTGGGACCAGACCAAACGGTTTAGTCCTTTTCCATTATTCATTTAAACATAAAATCAATAAACTGAAAAAAAGAATCGTTATCTGTTTTTTTCATTTGGTTTTGGAGACAAATAATGAAGAAAATAATTGTTTTTTTCATTTTCTTATTTTTGATTTTATATTGAAAAACAAATGAACGAATGATACACTGATTAAGAACTCTATATGCACGGTAAACATGTGTGAATGAAACAAAACACAACTCCAGAGGTATTTTTGATGAGCCCCATTATAACACAGATCAGAGGACAGCGTAATATGAGTCCTTTTAAATTCATGTTTTGAGATTTTGGTAACAATGTTCTTCCTTCAGCAAAACAATCCAGAGGTTTGGTCATTGCAGTTTGAGTCCTTGTAATCCTTGTAATCACCTTATTTCTTATTTATTTATTTGTAAAGGGACAGCACATATTAATGAACAAATGTAAAGAAATTGTAAATATGTAAAGATTATAGCCAGTGTGGCTCATTTCCCTCTTCAGTTCCTCGGCAGATTGATGTGAAATCATCTACAGGACAGGGAAAAGTACAGCAACAATCACACAAAATACATAAAACCACACTCACTATTCATACTATTCATTTCAAGTTCGAAGTCAAGAGTTAAAGAGTTAAACCAACAACCCCTCAATATAAAAAAAAATAAAATATTTGGTTAAACATGGTGACATATCTGGCCATGATGGTGTCATTAGTTGGCAGTCCTGACAGTGTGTGTTACAAACACACTTTAAGACACTTGGATCAAATTCTCTTCACTAAGATGAATTTGAGACGTCACCAGCCCTGTTTTATCGCAAACCTCGAGGGGACTGTGTTGTTCCCATGTATCAGCCTGTCCTGGAGCTTTAAAGCCAAGAGCCCATTCGCTAAAAAGGCCAAAATACCTGCCCATATATCAGCCGTTCAATATATTTGTCTATCTCTATTAGTACTTTACATGATATCTGGGCCAAGCCAATAATTTTTTTAATGCACAGCGATAATGTTAAATTTTTAATGTATTCATAAGGTGGAGGCTTTAATATAAGCGCTTTGGGGTTTTTTGCCTCTTCTGACACCTACTTTTTTAACTAGACTAGAGTGTTTTTTATTGTTATGTTACACGTGCTAAATAAATAAATAAATAAAGTCTTAAACGTCCTACATTCTTGTGAGCTTTAAGCCATGTTATAATGTCGTTACCTCTCAAAAAAATACCCAGAGTTGTTTTGTGCCATTCACACATGTTTGAGTAAACCCGCATTATTAGTCTTATTTAAAATGCTCTGTTCCACCTTGTGATGTCATGTGGTGGTAGTTCTCAAATTAACAGCTGCCTTTTTTTTCTGTTTGAGAGAAAAACTCAGCCTGAATATGCAGGGTTTGTGTGTATTAATGTGTGTGAATAAAACAAAACACAACTCCAGGTAAGTTTTTGAACATTATATAGACCAGACAATTATGTACTTTATGCGATTTTAAAGTGGCTGTAACAATTTTCATGAAATTCAATTTGTTCAGTTTATAAAAGCAGCTCTTGGAGGCAAAATGGGACCTCTGTGTGCTGTGTTTTTATCCTCCACAATCCTGGAAATAAGGCTTGTCGTTAGCTTTATTGTGATGGAAAAACATGGCCCTGACCTTAAGCACTTACAAACTCATAGCAGTGAATAATTAGAATGTTAGGAAAGTAAAAAAAAACAGGCAGTACAGCTTTTAATATGTATATTAAAAAGAATGATGCATAATAAAGGACCTTTTAAAAGTATGTGTGTATAATATCTGTGCACATCCTCAGTCTTTCCTACACTCTGACTCTTCTTTCTTTCTGAAGGTTTGTGGATTCATGTGTGAGCTCGTTCCCGTGTTCACTATGACTCTATCTCAGACACCTCAGAGGAGCAAAGGAGATGTTACGCTATGGACTGTTTCATGGTGTAATTTTAAAGGGCCCATATTACTCTGTTTTCTGATTTATGTTATAATGTTTCCTCATCACAAACAGACCTGGAGTTGGGTTTTGTTTCATTCACACATGTTTAACACAAAAGCCCTGCAGATTTAAGATGAGTTCTTCTCTCAAATAAAAAAAAAAACACTTCTCCACACTGTTCCACCTTGTCATGTAATACAGGAAGTGCTCCATAGTGTTTTTACAGTCTATACACCTTCACTAGAATCATTTGGATAATTTCAGACCTGGAATTGCCAATCTTTGCTGAACTAAAGGTAAAAGGAGCTGTGAACATGAAAACTACCGGTTCATAACATCACAATAATCTAGAATTTCTCAAACATGGTGAAAAAGCAAAACACAACTCCAGTTATGTTTATGATGAGGTAACAGCATTATAACATGTTTAATAGTTGTCAATATAGGCCCTTTTAAAGGTGCATTGTGTAACTTTTTAGTTGGGGGACCATCACCTCCTTGTTTCTATGGATATGTTTTTGCTCTGTCTGGAATGTTCCACAGTATGACATTAAACAGTCCTACCTTACATTTACTAAATTACAGGTAGTTTTGTAGCTCAAAAATACCTAGAAAAGAGGAGGGTCGCCTCTCCACAGATCTGCAGAGGTGGCGTCTTTTAAGTTGTGACTTGGACTCGAGTCAGACTTGAGTCGCTATTTTTAGGACTTGAGACTTGACTTAAAAAAATTAAAATGGATAAAATGGACTAAGACCTGGGACTTGCAGGTCAGTGACTTGGGACTTGACTCGGACTTGAGGTCTGTGACTTGAGAAGCACTTTTAAATCTGATTTCTTTCTATTCTGACCGTAATGATTCACACTAAGGTCTTTTCAAGACATTTAAAAAGAAAAAAATTGCATTTCTACAACTCTTATAAAGTCATAGTATATTTATATATGAGTATTTATATACACGTGCAATTTATCTTAAAACTCATATAACTTGGATAAAAATCTAAGCTATGTCTGGTACTTTGACTTGAAATGACTTGAAGCTCAAAGCAGACGACTTGGACTTCACTTGGACATAAGGGCCAGTGACTCGAGACTCGACTTGGACTTGCCTGTATTTGATTGGGACTTGACTTACACTTGAGGTCAGACTTACTTGAGAGTTGCAAGACGATGACTTGGTCCCACCTCTGCAGATCTGACCTGTAACTTGGTCTGGTTTGGACTCTATGACGATACAAAAAAGATTTAATACGACACTGTGAAACATTCCAGACGACGCAATAACATCTCCGTTTAGAAAAGCATTTGACGGACCCTCCACCAGAAAAGTTACACAATGCAGCAGCCATAAAAACATACCTTGAGTGTTTTTGTATTGTTTTATTCGTGAATTTTTCTGTAACCCTTTTGCTGAAGTTGTCTCCTTTTTGAATTAACTGGTGTGACAAATAAGTAACTTTGTCATGTAGACTTGTATAGAAGTGTACATGGGCCCTTGAAACAGCATGTCTATTCACAAAGCACAAATCTGTTTACCACATGTTGAAAATAACAATGCTGCTAACTTTATTTTGAAATGTTTCACTCCTCACCGTTATCAGTAGAGTAATGGTGAGGCATGAAAGCTGAGATTCTGACAGTGGATGTTTTCCAGACAGTATTTTAAAGTGCCGTTGTATCCAAAGGCATTTAGTAAAGAGACTTTTGATGATATGATATCACAATATTTCAGTTTTCATTGTTACATCTGTAGTTGTCAGTGACATCCACACACAGCTCCCTGTTCACTGCCTGATCTTGAAATATTTATTAATTTTTAGCACGACTCGGCAAAAAACCCACAAAGATAAAACTGAACACGAAGTAGTGATGCAAACAGTGAGGTTTCCCGGCGCTGTTGTGCACACAAAATTTCTCTTAGCCCCATCTGGGAATAAGATACAACCACGAATAGTAAAATTATTCATTATTAACTTTAAATTTCTTGACAAATCTAGTCAAAGTACCTTGAACCCGGCACGTGTACTCGAAGCTTGGTGATTTCTTTTGTCAACACTGAATGACCTGCATGCTAATAATAATGTAATTCATTTAAATTTGTGATGAAATATTGAAATCAAGTCTCAACCAATCATTTCTAGGTAAACTGGTGGCCTACGACACAGACGGAGATGGTGACTTTGACGTGGAAGATGCCAAAATCCTCCTAGGCAAGTTCATCCCACCTGATTTACTTATATAACTGTTCTGTAGCATGTGTGGTTTCAATGCAACAATGTCTGGGTTTCTTTTGCATGACTGACAATCAAACTCAATTCTAAACGTTTGCATTAGGTAATCTTATCAACTAGGGACATCCAAAAAGTTTTACAAGCTCATGTACGTGTATTATCAAACATTATCGGTAAACTTTTTCTTTTTCTGACAAGGATTTCGATTAGATTTGCAATTTATGTCTTATTAATAATATAAAAATTCAGTTCAAAGTTGACATTTTAAACACGTCCAGAAGAACTGACAAAAAGACATATCAACGAAAAGAAATATCATCTAAAATATGACAGGAAATGATGGTACTTTGTTAATCGTGTCCATTCAAATTGCGATTTTGATAAGATTTTGATTCGTCTTGCAGCTTTAGTAAACACTCAGCTTTGTGACAAAAGGTTTCCGGTTTGATCTCGTTCAAAGCAAAGGCATAAAATACACATGTTGTATAAAAACTGTATATTATGATGAACATTTTTTGCTCAATTTAAGTTTGTTATTTTTCTGAATATAGTGAAAAACCATTCATGTCCATAAGGTCTTGTTTCTCACGTTTATTTTTTTATTTTTTGTCAAATCTTGTTCCTGAATACCTTCAAAACTTTTTTTTGTTTACCTTCTAGAAGAAAAATTAAACTGAGCTGTAGCCAGGTCAGAATTCAGTGGTGGAATTTGCGGTTTGCCTGCCAGATTGCAGATTGTTGTTGATCTGGTTTATGGTTCATATCTCTGTAATTGCCGGGCCTATCCACATGGAACAAAAACTGGCACAGAGTTCAACCCATTCTCTGCCAGTATTAATAAACAAAAGTGAAAGATTTTCTCACAATAGCTTCAGGAAGTGTGTGCTTTTATTCGTGATTGTTATCAACTGAAAGGACTTTAAGACTTTAAGATTTGAGCCCATCCCACACAAGGAATTATAAAGTTCAACTAGTTTGGCTATTTCTTTCAAAAACAGTGAATCTCCCGTAGATCCATGTGACATTATGACAGATTCTAAAGCGCGACCACAGCCTATAGAAACCCCCGGTGTTGTGTCTGTACTGTACTGTAGAGGGAATTAACCGTAAATCCTGACTGTGCAATGGTCAGCAGTGGTCATTATCAGTGGCCGACTCTGGTAACTCTGGTCACTGTTGTGAAATGTGCAAACGAAGAAAGAGATCCGCACTGCAGTTCTTTGAAAGTCCCAATTTTTTTTATTTCAGTGACACCACAATGTGACATATCGGGTCAAGCCCTTTGCCTTACCCACCATTAGGAGTGTGCGAAAATATCAAAATATCGATATATCGTATAATTTAATGTGATGATCCAGTATCGATATTGTAGACTGCTGTATCGATATATCACAAGAGTATTTTTTGGTATATTTTAAAAAATTATTTTGTTACAGCGCTACAGTTTTGTTGCTTGTTTAGTGAAAGGAAAATCATTTATGTGACACATTTGGCATATTCACTATTTTGGTGATTAAAATGTTTGTGTTTCATATCAACTTTGCACAAGAAGTGGTTTAACAAAGACTTTTAGGATCACAGCCATGATTTAGCCTTTATTTTTTATTGAACCGTATTGAATCGATTTGAAATATATCGTATCAAACCAAAAGTCCATTATATTGAGATATGTATTGTATCGTGGCCTATGTATCGAATCCATAACTTATTAATGATGCTCAGTCCTACTCACCAATTTAATATATTTAATATTTATTGTGATTTTAGGCAAGTGTGATGGATGAATTTATTTAATTGTTTACAGAACAAACCATTCTGCACTGGAGTGCTATAACACTTTATTCTGTAGTTGTGTTTTTTATACGTGTTTATTGTATATAATGTGGATAAATGAAATGTGACATGTGGGACCAACCTCTCAAATCTGCAAAACAAATTTACTACGGGTACGAATAAAGCAACCTAACCTAACCAAGTCATCAGTCCCAATCAAAGATAAAAATTAGATTACAATTATTGAATGGAATCTTTAGTACAAAACAGGTGTTCACTCTGTTTTAAAGTGGTGCATTGGTTTACCACAGCCAAAAGTATGTGCACTATTTACAATTTATATGCAAATAAAAAAACACAGAAGTTTTTAATATTTGCATCAGCACTGCAGACTTAGAAGCATCATTGTAGGCACACACCCAAAAACAGACTGGAGTGATGCTTCAACATTTTGAGTCACAAAAACAGTCTTCTGAAGAGTTTTTAAAAACAGAGGCATTCTGGATATACACTCCGGGGACTCTGGCTGAGAGTGAACACTTGCTTTGTACTAAAGATTCAGTTCCTTTATTGTCATTGTCATATAAAATAACAACAAAATTACGTTAAAGCATCATACAAACAGCATAGTATTTTAAAAGTGCATAATAGTGTAGAGCACCCACTCTATAACACCCACCAGGTAAACATTACACCCACTATGTAAACATTAGAATACAGAACTAGTAATATCAGTGCAGCAGCAAAGGCTCAACCGATCAGATGTGTATTTACTGTAAATGAAGATTCCATTCAACAGTTGTAATCAAATGTTTTCTTTGACTGGGACTGATCACATGGTGGATCAGGTGACTAGGGGTCTGTTTACACAAGAACACTTGCCGGTAAAAAAACAACAAAATATTTTATCGGAAGTGCCTTTCGTTTAGATGGTGACGGCGTTTTTGGAGCCTAAAAATGCAAAAATCTGAAACCACCCTCCAGAGTGGAAAAGCTGAATACGCTCCGCCGTATAGCGTTCCTGTCTACACTGCCCAAGACGCAAAACTCTGGTCAGATCTGCTCACGTCGCGTACACGTTTACGTCACATACATCACCTCCTAGCCTCCCGTCATTCATACCCAATCAAATTCCACACACTTTTGCGCCACCGTTTGCACGCAGACTTCCTCCTGAAAACACTTGTCTAAACGCGGAATAAAAAGTGAAGACGTGACACCACTTTTGTGTCTTCTGTTCAGACCATCATCATATAAACGTAGCCTAGATGGTGTTGAAATAAAAAAAAAAAAGGCAGCTTCAAAGAACTGCAGTGCGGATCTTTCTTCACTTGCACAGTTTTTGTTTTTGGACCCAGTACATAGTCGCAATTTTTGTTGCATGTCTCAGTCTACCGGCACTGTTGTGAATAGGTCAAAGGGACAACACGTGAAGTACACTGTGTGATACAATACTGCAGTGTGTTCGTAAGTGGGGCGTGTACTCGGCCTCTGTGATACCAGTTTGAGTGATGACATCCTGAACAGTAGGTTTGGCTCGGTGACTAATATAGGTCAGTGGAAGTTTTGTTTTTACTTTTGAAGCAGCCAGCGAGTCTTAAGTGAAACGTAACAAAGTAAAAGTCGTAACATACTGCAGTTAAAGTGCTCTGTGTAACTTAAGATCCTAAACCAATTTGAGTCCATGTAGATGTTGTTTTTTTGGGGGTTTTTTTCTACCCCTTGAATGTTCTGTAGTACGGCATCTAATTTAAGTATCTCCGTGGAAACAAGCAGGCTACATCACCAGGTTAGATCTGTGGAAAAGTGGGCCCGCTTGTACTATTAATGTATGTTTTTGTAGTAGTTTTAAGGAATAAAATCACCCACAATTGGATAAATACAAGAGATATTTGTTCAACGCTATACTGTGGAAAGCATTACGATCACCATGGAGATGCGCAGATGGCAGACCGTCCACCAGAAAAGTTACACAGTGCACCTTTAAGTATAAATAGCTGTCTGTAAGTACATTTTAAGGTGGAAACTTTTTACTTTTCTTCACAACATTTGAGAGCAGGTATCTGTACTTGCTCCTCCACTACATTTTTGAACAGGACTGAAAAGTTAAAGTATTTTTTATTATAGTTTGAGATCTACTGAAAAGGCTCATGTTCGTAATTTGAGCAAACAAAAATATACAAATGAAAACTAACTAGACAAAAGATTGATTCAAATGTACAAATCTGCATCAAAATTGCAACATCTGAAGCTTCATTAAATCTCAAAATATACGTAAAATATGTTTACTGTTTACTCTTTTCAGGTGATATTTTTACTTTTACGGGAGTATTTTTTTGCTCCAGTATCTGTACTTTTACTTAAGTAACAAAATTAAGTACTTCTTCCACCACTGCAGGTTTTCATGTTTTTCCAATTCTGACTGTTATTTGGTTTGGTTGGATAGTACCTGTATCAAATTTTTATTTTTAATAGTTTTACGTCCGTTAAGGTGGCAGTTTGTGGAGGAAAATTTGAGAAGAAAAGCACCAAAATACAGAATAGAGGAAAAAAAAACTCCATCCAGAATGCAGGGACAATTTACACATAAGAAAGGCAATTTTATGGCAATTTTTAAGCCTTCATTTAACAAAATAAAGGTGTTGGCATTTATTTTTAGCTGTTTAATTATAGCTGTTGCACAATTTAGGCAGGAGCTTCTTGTGCACTTTGAGAAGCTGCTCCAGATTGGCCTTTTGAATCTCGTTCGGACCACTGCAAACTTCAACCACCTTGCTTTTGATGTTGAAGTAGACTGGTGTGAACGAGTGTATGTTTGTGATAGTGAGTGTGGGATGATGGTCAGAAATGAGACTATGATTACAAACCGGTCTGTCCTGCCTAAATAAACCAAAGCCGACTCACTCAGAGCATGACCGAGGCTGACCAATAAGAGGAGGTTTTGACCGTCACACCAACCAGCCCATGTTTGGACCAACTCCAAGCTCCAAGTCCTTGTTGAATCTAATCTGCTCCTAGTTAATAGTTATTTAGTTTTTGATTTGTTTTTTCACTGTTTCTGGCAACAACGCTGTTTGTCAAATTAAACATTCGGCTGATCGATATTGTCAGAAGTATCACTGTGGAAGTAATGACAACCACTAACGGCACAAACAAACATATCCTTGTCAACTTCCTTGTCCTCGACTGTATAAAGAAGTGGACTA